AAAAGAATAGGCCTTAGGAGAAGCTTATCCCCCACCTGGTGAGCCTTCCTGAGAACACTCCAGAGAGCCTGTAAGTAATGGTTGCTATGATTCTATAAGGGCAGGTGACCAGACCACATGACTCTGGACTCCATCTTGGGGTGTCTTTATTTTTTCACACACTGGTCCAGACACCAAGTTTTGAAAGAAAGGGTTGCCGCCCTATGCTAAGGCTATAAAAGGCAGGGAGCAATATCAACGGTTCTTCTTCACTCCTCACACAAGAAGACTCCTGGAAAGACCTAAGGAACACACTCTGAACTGGGGAAGTGCTTGAAGCAGGCTAAAGGGATTTTAGCCTGTGTATGAGACCTGAGAAACCCTAACTGCAAAGCAAATGCAGCCTGTGCCTTGAGAATCTGCAAGACCGCCGGTATCATCAGTCATGGTGAGCAACTGCTCATTCATAGTTAATCTAACCGGTGTGTTATGCTTAGTTTGTGTTTTTGTTTGTTTGCTGTTAATCTGCTTTGATCTGTTTCCTATCCCTTATTGTCACTCAAAATCTGTGTTTTGTAGTTAAACTTGTTTGCTGTTTAACATAAACCAGTGTGTCTTTAAGTGAAATATCTTGGGAAAAATCTCAGGTTGGTTAGCACAAGTATGCATATTCCTCTCCACATTGAGGGAGAGGCAAACTGGGTAACAAATTCCTACTGGTCGGTGTTTTGACCAGGCCAGGGTGGTACAGCTCTGTGGTCCTAGGCTGGAGCTTTTGTGGCTTCTCTGTTGTTGGTTCATGCAGTGGCTGGTCAGAGAGCCTGCATGAAAATGAGCTGGGTGTGTCCCTAACTGTGTAAATGCTGGAGGAAGTGTAGGACTGGGAGCGGGTCTGCAAATTGCCACAGCAGCACAGTGTCAGAGGGAGCCGGACTGGGTGGGCTCAGTGGAACCACAGTTCCAAGTAGCACCCCGTGGGGAAGCCATCAAAAATGGGTAATGGCAAAACGTGCCTAAGCAAGAGTAATGGATGGCTCTCAGATTTAGAACATGAGAACGGCCAGACTGGGTCAGACCAAAGGTCCATTTAGCCCAGTATCCTGTCTTCTGACATTGGCCAATGCCAGGTGCTTCAGAGGGAATGAACGGAAGAGGTAATCATCAAGTGATCCATCCCCTGTCACCCATTCCCTTTTTCCTGTACCATGTTATTACTGGTTATTTAGTCTCTTGACTATATTTTATAATAAACCAAAGTGAGTGAAGCCATTTACTATACAATTCAGCAACACTAAACAACATTATATTGGTTGCAATATAATTAAAGAGAGAATGGTATCTGTTGGATTGGTTTGTTCACGTCATCAGATCAATACTTCCCCATGAGTCAACTTCCCATCACCGACCAGACGCCTACTGTATGAGTTGTCATCCTGTTAGTAGATACAAAATAGGGGCCAAGCCATTCTTTATCTCACTATGGCTCACATGCGCCAACATCTTGCATCTCATATTATAATCATGAGCCAGATCCAAAGTCCTTTGTAGTTAAGGGAAAGACACTCAGTCATTGAGTACAAGGGGTTTTGTGCCAGGCCCCTTACAGGGCAAAGGCAACAGATATTTTCTTCATGTCTGACATGGGCTAGGATCCATGTCTCCCCTGCCCACTCTCAAAATAAACTATCACAGACTATATTCATGTTTTACAGTAGAGCAATCCATCTCCACCTTTCCCATCCCACATACACAGCATATTCCTTCACATCAATGTTCCCTTTAATTTTTCTATCCATATGCAGAGTGAATTTTGTGATGCTCACCAATATAGAGGTGATGTGTGACACCAGTAAAAACAAAAAAAAACGTAGCTATAATATATATTTTTGAAAAGTTACCATAGGGATAATTACTCCATCCAGGACAGGTTAGGCATTTTAATACTAACTAGTCAAAGAATTAAATTTAAGCATAAGAGAGAAATAAAATTATGTAATGCATAGACCAGTCAAAAACTGCAATAACAGCACTTGGAAAGAATGAAATTTCAGAGAATACATGTGCATTGCAGGAAGTAACAACAACAACACAAGTATGTGTTGGGAGGTGAGTGTGAAAGAGACAGTGTGTGTATGTGTGAGAGACACAAAGCCTGTGTGTGTGAGAGAGAGAGAGAGTGCGTGTGTCAGAGACAGAATGTATGTGTGTGTGTGAGAGACACAGAGAGAGTGTTCAGAGTAGCAGCCGTGTTAGTCTGTATCTGCAAAAAGAAAAGGAGGACTTGTGGCACCTTAGAGACTAACACATTTATTTGAGCATAAGCTTGAAGTGAGCTGTAGCTCACGAAAGCTTAGAGACAGTGTGTGTGTGTCTGAGTGAGAGAGAGACACAGGGACAGAGTGGAGTGTGCCAGCTGCTGGGGATGCGTAGGAGAGACCGTGCTTTGTCTTTTTAAGGCACTCCCACCAGAAAGCTGAGACCGAAGCAGCTTTCAGAAGCTCTCTGCTCCTGAGCCCTGTCCCCCGCTCCTGCTCTGCGGAGATGGGGTACGTGGGCAGGGGGGAGTGGGGGAGGGGACACCCTGACATCAGCGCCCCTCCTGCCCCCTGTGCTCTGCACAGCAAGCAGCAGGGTCCCGGGAGCCGCTTGCAAGGGGCCCCAAGGCAGAGAGCAGGAGCAATGCAGCTGCAGAGCAGTGGGGGGAAGGGTACCCGAACACACGCCACCCTGCGCGGCTCTGCTAATCAGTGCACGTCACTTGATTCACTCCTGCTCAGTTGCACAGCCATGCAGCTTAGAGGGAACACTTTATCTTTTCTCTATGCAATAATTTCAGATTCCCACTAGCAGAACTATCAAGGAAGATTACATCATCTCACATGAAGGCAAAATTACCAACCGGGGAGACCACAATTTCTGTGACAGGGAATAACAACAAAATACACCAAGGAGCACTGTAGGATCCAGACATCCAAGTAGTAACCCAAACTCAGTTTGCTGAGATAATGGAAGACTATCAAGGGTAGAAGATATTGGAAAATGTAGTGCAAAGACTATAAACTTATCTCAGAAAATCTGCAGGAAGGGTTATGGTTAGGGGGCAGCTGGCAATAGAGTATCCGTGTGACAGATAAAGCAGCACAGTTAAAATGAAATAATTTAGAAAAGAAAAATACCTGCTCAGGTACCTGATTTAGAAAAGAAAAATACCTGCTCAGGCATCTAGCGTGTCAGAAAGAATAGGATTGCTTGTTCAATCCAGGGGGAATGTAAATAAAAGTAGAAGGGTTAAAGCAAAACATGCCCAGGAAAGATAAATGAATGGCTCTCAGATTTAGAAAGTAAAAACATAAGAACGGCCATACTGGGTCAGAGCAAAGGTCCATCTAGCCCAGTATTCTGTCTTCCAACAGTGGCCAGTGCCAGGTGTCCCAGAGGGAATGAACAAGTGACCCATTCCCTGTCACCCATTCCCAGCTTCTGGCAAACAAAGGCTAGGGACACCATCCCTGCCCATCCTGACGAACAGCCATTGATGGACCTATCCTCCATGACTTTATCTAATTTGATTGTACTCCTTGTGTGTATATTTTATTGCTCGTCAAATTATGAAACAAAAACATTGTCTGTCTTCTCTGTGTGTGTGTGTTTTTCTGGATTTCCATTTTTCTGTCAGACATTCATGTTGCACTAGTGTCAATGTACCATCGCCACTCCTGATGTAGGCATAGTTCATATGGGTGCATCATAAGTCAGTGGATGAAGAGATCAGATGGCAGGATATATCAAGAAGCGTGTAGAGGAAAAGCAAAGAAGAGATTTCAGACTTCTTGGCTCTGATACCTTTTCTTTAACAGCAAGGATCTGCTACTTCTCTTTAAACAGATCTGTATTTTATTGTTCATAAAATTTGGAGAAAGAAACAATCTCTCTCTTTCTCTCTCTGTATTTTTGTCTCATTCTGTCTATGTATCTCTTCCTTTTTTCTCCCATTTTTCATTTTTCTCCAGGCACATTCTCCCTTCTGGATAAAAATGACTCTCTTATTTCTCTCTTAATGAGTTTTCATTTTTACCTCATTTACATTTCTTTATATGGGGTTGGATTCCGATCTCAGTTGCACTTGTGTAAATCCACATGAAGCGGATGCAATTTACCCTGGTGTAACTGAGATCAGGAAACGGCCCACAGTCTGTGTTTAGGGTTTGTTTGTGTCTTTGTCTGTTTCTCAGCTGCATCTATCAACTGGTGCAAATTAAAATTTGCATCTGCTGGGATAGAGAACAGCTGGATAGACCTTCATACAGACCACAGCCTCCTTAGTGTTTCAGTATCTGTCTTATGGGGAATGTCTACACTGCATCTAGGCAGTGTAATTCCCTGCTCTGGTAGACCTACACACACAATCTTTGATTGAGCTATTGAGCTGAAAATAGCAGTGTAGCCTTGGCAGCACAGACTAGCTGCCCGAGCCCAATCCCATCTGAGATCCCAGCTACGTACACAGGTAGCCATCCCAAAGGGCTGCATGTGCTGCCATGTTCTCACTGCTTGTTTTATCCTGCCAGCTTGATCAAAGCTTGTGCATGTGTGTCTACCCAAGGTGGGAATTACACCTCCCAGCTGCTGGGGAGACGTACCCATGGTTGAACTCTAAATATCTTTCATTTCCAATCTATTGATCTTTTGTTATGTCTTCTAGATTTCTTGATGTGAGACTGATATGATAAAGATATTTCAAAATCCCAGCCTAAAGGTATTTAAAGTTGAAGAGAGCCAAGGGAGTTAGATGGGACGTTTCCCTAATTCAGTAGGGTTCCATGCTCTTATTTCAGCTATATTGGAAGCTGAACCTCTTAAGGATAGGAGTCTTCCCTCTGTTTTTTGACAACTTCACTTTCCAGTGGAGAGATGCAGTGTTACGAGGTTACCTACTCCAGGTTTCTGCCAGTGTAATCGACAGCACAACCTGACTGCGTGCACTCGATCAATATTTAATGGTCTTCTGTTTCTAGGTACATATTATGGAGAAAGCAGAAGTAAGAAATCAAACACCCATTGTGGAATTCATCCTCTTAGGATTTGGGAATGTTCCTGAACTGCAGACCCTTCTCTTCCTCGTGTTTCTAGTGATCTACATTGTGACTGTCTCCGGAAACATCCTCTTCATTGCACTAGTTGTGGCTGATCAGCAACTTCACATCCCCATGTACTTTTTACTGGGGAACTTGTCCTGCCTGGAGATCTGCTCCACCTCCACCATCCTGCCCAGGCTGCTGGCCAGTCTCCTGACTGGGGACAGAACCATTTCTGTTAAGGGCTGCATTGTGCAATTATATTTCTTTGGTATCCTGACAAATACAGAAAATCTGCTGCTCACGGCAATGTCTTATGATCGGTATTTAGCGATATGCAATCCACTCCGTTATGCTGCTCTGATGAATGGCAGGGTTTGTTGGCAGCTTGTGGCAGGGTCCTGGATAAGTAGCTTACTGCTCTGCACCATAGTAAATATTTTCTTCTTCCAATTAACGTTCTGTGATTCCAAAGAAATTGACCATTTCTTTTGTGATTTTTCACCTATGATAAAGCTGTCCTGTGTTGACACCCAGACTCTGGAACTGTTGACATTTATTATCGCTGTCATAGGGACATTTGTGCCCTTTCTTCTGACTCTGACATCCTACATTTGTATCATCACCACCATCCTGAGAATCCCTTCTGGCATCAGGAGGCAAAAGGCATTTTCCACCTGTTCCTCTCACCTCATTGTGCTTGCAATTTTGTATGTGACCGTATTAACTGTCTATGTAATTCCAACAGCCAACACTCCCAAGGTCCTACAAAAAATATTCTCTGTCTTCTACACAGTCCTGACTCCTATGATCAACCCTGTCATCTATAGCCTGAGAAACAAGGAGGTCAAAGAGTCCCTAAGAAAAGCTATTCTTAAACTAGTATCTTAGTGAAACAGGCATAGAATGTAAAAGTATCAATTTTAGCATATAGTAAATAGAGATGAGGTGATATAGTTTCTTACTTGAGTCCTTGATAGCAGGGTTACCCCTTTCTTTCTTTCTTTCTTTCTTTCTTTCTTTCTTTCTTTCTTTCTTTCTTTCTTTCTTTCTTTCTTTCTTTCTCTTCCTGTTACTCTGCTACTTTTTGAGCATTCATCTTTCATACATTTAATAGACATTTCTTTATACAAAACTTCATACTGTAAGAAACATTCTTTATAAAAATTGGGCTTTTTTTCCAAACTCACGTTTCAGTAAAGCACTCTGGCTCATTCATCCATACATGAACACTATGTCCAAATTCTGCTAGGAGCTTACCATCTTTTGGGTGGTTCTGGGTCTCTTCCACTCCCACTGAAGCCAATGAAAGTCATTCTCCACTTTTTAGGACCCTTCATTTTCATTTATGCCTCTGAACAGTAGGTGAAAAATATTGCCTCCACAGTGAGTGGAGAACTTTGATTGGGCAGTATTCTATGCAGATCTGTAGCTGGGTAAACAAAAAATGAAAGTCTGGGGAGGGCTGGGAGTCTCCGTGTCCTGCCATGTGAAATTTCCCGCCTGTTCATACATCTTTGCAGGGTCAAGGCAACATTAAAATATCTATATCAATAGTGATATAAATATGGATATCAATACAGATATATGAAATGCAAACATAAGATGTATGGCCAAAATTTTCATAGCTCATGAGACCCGATTTCCCTCCCCAACGCAAATAAAAAAGAAAGGGATGAATTACTATGAATAGGAAATGAGCACTGAAAATCACTAGGCAACACTTTGCTAATTTCAGCCTAGATATTGTCACACAATCTTCCCTCAGCCCAGACAGAAATATGCTATACACATAAAAATATTTACCATGAAAATTTGACCAAAAAAAAAAAAGAATTAAAAAATAAAATCGCACTGAGTCTCCCTGATATTTTCGTTCTTCCTCCAAATTTTTGGGCCCTGTTTTTTTACCAAAAAATATCGTCATTCTCCATCTCTCCTTCTAACTGGTTAGATTTCCATTGCTCTCCTGACCACCCAACCCACCCTCCTGCTGTCCCCTGATGCAGGGCCATATGGGGTGTGTGACACTACACCCCATATTCTTCATGGAGATATTGTTATAATATGAATTTGGAGTAACTAAGACATGTTTTAGGCAATATGGGTCTTGTGAGATATCATTGGAAAGGTTATTACTTACTGATTCTGATTATCTAATTATTACGTATGTGTCATTGTTATATCTGAAGTTAGGAATATTAGTTATCCAGCATAGAACAGCTTCAACCAGAGTGATAGAGGGCACCCCACACACTGCAATATCCCAGTGACTAGTGGTGAGGGACTCACCTGAGAAGTAGCAGAGCCTTGTTCAAATCCCCCTTCTTCTCCCTCCAACAGGGGAGGAACTTGAACAGGGATCGCTGACATCCCAGCTGAGTGCGCTAACCACTGGGCTAAAAGTGACAAGGGAGTCCCTACTTCCACCCCAACTTTTTGCATGAGCTCACCTACCAACTGGGACCCCTTGGGTGAGTTAGGTGGGGGAACTCTGGGATGTATGTGTCCAGATGTCTGGTCTGAGGCTGCCGTGTGCATGCCCAGAGACACCCTCGGGAATTTGACTGCAAACAGTAGGATGCTGGTTGAGTTTAGCTGCCTACAGTGTTTGGGAGCAGTTGAGTGGAGGTTTAGAGAACCCTCTTGGGCCTGATTCTGTGATTTAGGCACCTACAGTAGTTAAGAGCCAAAGTCCATATTTTGTATCTCGCCCCCTGCTGCTTTTGAAAATTTCACTCATTCCTATCTGCATCTTTAGGCAAATAAATACTATTAAAGCTCCCCAGCTCTGTGTGTGTGTGTGTTTTTACAGTCTGCGTAGTAACTGTGCCTCTTGACCATGGGCATCTCAGATTGGTTACAATGGAAGCATAACGGGTAGCAATGCTTCTGTGTTCTCCTTTTGAAAATAGTATTTTAATCACACATTAGTTTGAGATGCAGGAGAACTTTTTGTACAATGGCCCAGATTCTCATTTCAGTTACACTTGTGTAATTACAAACGATTTCCCCTTACTCCAGTGGTGTATCCATTATCAGAACCTGGCCCAGTATCTCAGTGATAAACCCCGGGTTCAGATACACCCTGGTGTAGCCACAGTGAAATGAGAGGAGTTACACCAGGGAACAACTTGGCCCATAGTATTGAAAAATCATTGCCACTTACTAGCAATATTTCAGAGGACATGACACAATCTATGCTGCTGTAAATTAATACCCAAAGGTCCTAACTGCAAACCCTCCATCACCAGTGGGATATATTAGTGAAGACACAGTTTAGAGTCCAGCGAGGAATTCTTGTGTTGTGTTTATACCTCAGTTATTTAAATCCCAAATTCCCTGGATGTTGCAAGGGGCTCAGAACAGTCAGCTGGGCTTTTCACTGATATGAATCCAGGTGATTTTGCTACTGTCTAAATGCTGGTAAAAAGGGATGGCAATTTGGTAGCTTTGGCCCATTTTCTAGTGGACACAGGTCAAAACCATGGCTCCGGCTCCAGGCCTAGGACCTCTGTGAAGCCAATAGGTGGAGCGTTGATGACTTTTGGTGGCGTCTGACCTGTTCCTCAATATTAGTTTGTTCATCACTATATACCCTTAGACTGGATAGGAGTGTCTATCTGTAGACTAGTTATGAGAATTCAAGTATATACAGTCACTAACCAGCTAATTAATAAAAAGAATGGTACCAGTTAAGCATTCAGTCATACTCATTAATAACCATGCCATTTTCTTTAAGAAGACATTCAGAAATTCATGATTCTTTATGTCTGAGATGTTCAAAGAAACCAAAGGGAATTAGATGCCCAATTGCCATGGAAAATCTCTCAGAATTGGGCTTCTAACTCCCATAGGTCCCTTTAAAATCCAAGGTGGCTTTATGGGTAAACATTATGTTATGTGTATTCACAGAGTATCTCCAGATTGCAAGAACAATTAAGGTTTTAAAGAGTTATTTTATTCTGAGTAGCATTATTTATTATTTTATAGCACACACAGGTATGCTAAAAATTTCACAGAAAATTACTATTCCATAAGAAATGAGTTTACGATCCCACTGAATGACATTTTAAGATACATCAAAACTTCAGCAATCCCATGATATACATAAGTGATAAAAATGCTTGGCACTTCTAACCTAGATGAGGTTAACATGAGCTTGAATTTTTACCTCTGCTGAATGGCTTTTGTTTTACATTGGTTTAAATTAGAGGGGAATCTGTACTATTGACTTGAGTGAATTTTTCATAGAATCAAACATTTTAAGGCCAGTGGGGACTTTAGGGCAATCCCATCCGTAGAATCTCAGCTGGCGGCTCCTCAGTATAACCCAGCACGTTCAGCTGAACATAAGGATACTTTTCAGAGAGATACCCCACCCCTTAGATAATACACGGATTCTAAGGCCAGAAGGGACCATTCTGCTCATCTGGTCTAATCTCCTATAGAGAACAGGCCAGAGAATTTCCCCCAAAATAATTCCTTTTGAACTAGAGCAAAACTTAAAAAAAACCCAATCCAATCTTGTTTTAAAACTTGCCAATGATGGAGAATCCACCACAACCTTTGGGAAATTGTTTTCATGATTAATTAGTCTCTCTCTTAAAAATTATGCCTTATTTCCAGTCTGTAATTAAGTTATTACTTACCCTTCACTTCAATAAGCAAAATACAGATAGCTCCTTCCGTCTCTGCCATGAGACAGTTTTCTAGACCATGAATCAGTCTTCTAACCTTTCTCTGAAACCATTCCAGTTATTCAACATGGTTTTTAATGTAGGGCCACCAGGACTGGGAACAAAATTCCAGTGATGGTCTCACCGACATATTATACATTTACATGACCGTGAACGTAAGGAGAAATAATCCTTCAATGGAGAGACGCATGATTTGCACCTGTCTGAGAGGAGAACACTGAAGGCGGTTTAGACATGAATATTACCTATTTAAGACAAGGATGGAGCTGCACAATTTCCCCACTCCCAGAGTTTCCCAAGCACAGCACACAACAATATCATACCATAGATTTTGCCTGAGGGAACCTTTTCCTTCCTGTTGATTTCCTGAGAGCACATTTTATCTCCCTGTTCCTCGGGCTGTAAATAACAGGGTTAAATGTTGCAGTTAGCACCAGGTAAATCAAGAAAAGGAGCCTGTCTTATACTGGTATCGTATACTGGTATAGCTTATTGCCCCTGATTGGTATCATATTGGTACCATAGCATCTGCACTAGGGGGATGTTACACTTTTAACAATATGGGTGTGGTACAATTTGTGTGTGTAGATGAGCCCTCAGTCTCTCCTTCTCACTCAGTGACTTCTTTATTCCTCTCCCATCTCTGTTTTCAATCTATTTCCTATGAATTGGTATTCCGCACCCTTGTATCTGAAAAGACTTAAGTCCCTGTGTTTGATCAGTGTTCGGGTACAATTTTCAAAAGCACCCTAAGTGACATAGATATTATATTTTTATCATTTATTAGTTGAATTTTTCTTATAATAGCTCCCCGGTCATGGACCAGGACCCCATTGTTCTAGGCGCTGTACAGATGCGAACAAAAACATGCTTCCTGCTCCAAAGAACAAAACTGATGGAATTTTTCACAGTAATAAATTTAAGCTTGTGGGGCTATGGCCCCATTGACATTCATGGCACTGTGGCTGACAGGATATGTCCTACGTAGCAAAACTTCTCCACAGACTTGAGAGGAGTGTTATTGATCTTAATAACTGGGTAGACATGAATCCCTGGGCAAAGCTTGGTGCTGACCCATATAAACTGGGAAGACTAAAGCCTTTCAGGCTGCAGGAGACTAAACTGTTTGAACCCAGGCAGAAACAGAGAGAGTGAAGTTCCACCAGTGACCAAGGTCCCTGCAATGGCATG